TGGAGCCCCAGAGAGGTCTCCAAGAATGCCCAACGAGACCCCAGAGAGGACCCCGAAGGACATCCAGAGGGGCCTCTCCTCACGAGTCCCCAGGGGACTCCCAAGAGGTCCCTCGCCCATCTTGCCCTTCCCTCTTCGGCTCTCTCCCTCCTCCCTCCTTGCCCCTCTCTCCGCGGGCGTCCCTACTCCATTCGCGCTCTTCGCCGATCGCTCCTCGCGTCTCCCCCTTGCGTCCTCGACCTCCTCGGCCCGGACTGCTCGGCCCTCGCCAGGGAGCAGGTCGCGCCAGCAGAAACGGAGTAACGACACGCAGCACCTGCATCACCAAGCAGCAGCATCGACCGGCAGCATCACCTACGATTTTGCAGCAGCGGCGGCACACAGCAGCAGCAAGCAGCAGCGAGCAGCGGACAGCAGCACGCACCAATCAGAACTGGGCATCAGCAGCACCCTGCAGTCATCAGCAGCAGCAGCACGCAGTAACGGTAAGCCTTAATTACCAACAGCACGCAACAGCGGCATCAAGCATCTTATTGCCGTTGTATGCGTGGAATGCGAGGGTAGAGCCTCGCATTATCATTTCAGCCATTCTGCAACCTACCCACTATCCGCGGACACACGACAGTGGACGTAATCCATGGGTCAGCCCTACTCAGCTACAACGCTGGGATCAGCGCATGCGAGAAGGGCGAGCAGTGGCAGCGTGCTCTGGCGCTGCTCAGCGAGATGTGGGAGGCGAAGCTGGAGCCCAACGTCATCAGCTACAGCGCTGGGATCAGCGCGTGCGAGAAGGGAGAGCAGTGGCAGCGGGCTCTGGTGCTGCTGAGCGAGATGTGGGAGGTGAATCTGGAGCCTGAGGTCATCTATATTATATGGCCGGAGGAACCGCGTGCCGGAAGGAAATCCACCCAAATGGCTAGAAACGGCTCCGAGACGCTCCGGAGGCCGCCCCGACGGCCCAAAGGCGGCTCCGAGCCGCTCAAGATGCCCCGAAGGCGGCCCAAGAGGGCCCCGAGACGCGCAATGATCCGGCCAAGACGCCCAAGATTGGCCCAAGACGGCCCAAGAGCTCCCCAAGACGGCCCAATAGGCCTCCCAAGAGGCCTCCCAAGAGAGCCCCGAGAGCCCAAAATCGTTGATTTTCATTTGTTTTTCAAAGGTTTTTTGCTTCCTCGCTTTTTCGGCTTCCCGACGCTCCGAACCCCCCCCCGAGGCATCCCAGACCGCTCCAAGACGGTCGAAGAGGTCCCCAAGAGGACCCCAAGACGGTCCAAGAGGGCCCCAAGACGGTCCAAGGCGGCCCCAGGACGGCCCCAGAGGCGCCCAAGACAGGCCAACGGGACCCCAAGAGGGCCCGAAGAGCGGCCCAAGATGGCTCCAAGACGGCCCGAGGACCGCCCAAGAAGGCCCTGGGGGGCCCCAAGACAGCCCAAGGGGCGCGATAGACGAGCCCAGAGAAGCCCAAGAGGCCCCCAGGAGCCCAAAAGAGGTCCCCAAGAGGTGCCACGGGGCTTAAAAACTGCTTCGAAGCGAGGGGGGCGGACGAGGGCCTCAGGAGGTTTTGGACGGTTTTGGGCCTCCCAATCATCCGCTTTACGACGGTTTTGGAAGGATTTTGGCCTTCTCGCCTTTTCCGCTTTCCGACGCTCGAAGACGGCCCAAGAGGCCTCCAAGAGCGCCCCAGAACGGCCCAAGAGGTTTCCAAGAGGGCCCCAAGACGACCCAAGAGACGCTCAAGACGGCCCACGAGGGCCCGAAGACAGGCCCAAGAGGGGGCCAAGAGGGGGACCACGGACCGAAAATCCGAGCCTTCCGCCCCAAGAGGGCGCCAGGAGGCCCAAACAGGCCCCCAAGAGGCCCAAGGGGCCGCCAAGAATCCCCCGAAGAGGCCCCAGGAGGCTCCCAAGGAGCCCAAACGAGGCCCCAACAGAGGCCCCAACAGCTTCCAAATGGCCCCAAAGAGGCCTCGAGCCCGCCTCCGAGCTTCCTCGCCGCGAGGGTGCCAACACGGCCTCAGACGGGCCCAGGACGGCCCAAGGCGCGCTCAAGGCGGTCCCAGGAGGGTGCCAACACGGCCACAGATAGGCCCAGGAAGGCCCAAGGAGGCGCCCAGTCGGGGCCTCAAGACGGGCCAAGATGGCAAGAGAGCCCCAGTTGGCAAACATCGTTTATTTTCCATTGTTTCTTGTCACAGCCTTTGCGTTTCCCGCCATTTCGGCGGTCGGATGCCCCAAGAGGCCCCAGAAAGTCCCAGGAGCGTCCGAGGAAACGCCCAGGAAGGCCCCAAGACGGGCCAAGACGGACCCAGCACCTGGAGGCCTCCTCCAACCCTGTGGGCGAACAAGAGGAAACCCAGCGGGCCGCCAACCCTGGGGCCCGTGGGCCCCGCGCCGCTTGGGCAGAAGACGAACGTCGGGTCTGACAGGCCAGCTACCGCCCCCCTTTGCCCGATATGCTGTGCCATTCTGTTCCCCCAGGGGCCTTGGCAAACTCTTCGGGCCAAGCAGACCGGACCCCTGGGACAGCAGCCAATTGATATGACCCTGGGACCTCTCCGCATTCTTCGGACGAGCACCTGGGGGGCCCAGGAGATTCGGACAAGTCTTCCCCATTCCTTGCCCTGTCCCGTTCTGTTCGCCCGAAGGCCTCCACAGACCCTCTGGGCGAACAGAATGGGACATGGCGAACAAACCCTCCCGTTGGCGGTGATGCGACTGGATCGCACCATCAAGGCGCGCCCGGAGGTGATGGCCGACCCAACAGCGGTTTCTCTAAAGATGTTACAGAATTTCAAAATTTCTTGAAGCTCTCTTGGGCCCTCCCTGTAGATCCTTGCGAGCCTCCCCGGCGCTTTCGGTGGCTTTCCCCGATGGCCTCCCGAGCCCTTCCCCGAGCGCTCCTGAGACGCCTCAGATGGGCTTCGACTTCGACGCACATCCCCGAGTGACTTCGAAACTGTCCTCAATAGGAGGGGGGTTGTCAATGGCACAGATCTGTTCCAATGTAGTTTGCTATGCATGATGTAATGATTGCTAGCGTGTGCATGTGTGTGTGTGTGCTGCTTGCAGTGCTGCGCATGCTGTGCGTAGGTGTGTGCGCGCCCGCTGCCTGTTTCGACTCAAACTGTTTCGTAGGGGCCCCTGAGCTGATTCGAGTTACGAGTGGATCTTATCGATCACAATCAATCCTATTTCATTTTTCTGTTCGGAACTTTGTGTGTCCGAGCTTCGGTGGTTTCATTTGTGTGCTACCGACATTGGTAGCGGAGCCAACGGCTCCAGGTCCACGGCCCGACCGATAAGTCCGCTCGTGATTCTCCTCCATCAGAGTTGAGAGATGCGGCTCCATGGTCCACCAGGACCAGGGCGCGGACGAGGTGAAGGTCGTGGAGGCCGCGGCGAAGGTGTTGACCGCGGCACAGAGGAACGTCGTGCCGAAGAGGGAGAAGAGCAGCGGATTCCAGACGACGACGACAGCGAGCTGCACGGAGGTGGACGACGAGATCGACTACCACAGATGGATGCAGGTCTTGCCAAGTGTTGCCCGGACGCGACGGACCTCAGACACGACACGTATAGGAACTTCAGAAGGAGAGCGACGGTGTTCCAGAGGTTATGCTCGCGCAGAGGCGCGTCGGTGATTTAGCGAGGGCGCCTACCTATTGCTGCAGAGCTTGACAGGAGATGCGTGGGACGCCTGCGACGAGATCAGTTTCGAGAGAATGGACACCGCCGAGGCCTTCGAAGAGATATTCGACAAACTGGATGTGTTGTACAGGCACACACAAGAAGTCGAACTGCCAGGGAGATGCGACGTTTTTTTTTTTTTTTTTTTTTTTTTTTTTTTTTTTTTTTTTTTTTTTTTTTTTTTTGTTTTTTTTGTTTTTTTTTTTTTTTTTTCTTTCGGAGAGTTCTCGAGACAGCCAAAGGAGACGCTCAATGCATACGTGCTCAGGCACGGCAAGGAGTTGACGAAGTTACGCGAAGCTGGGCTCGAGCTACCGGACCCTACTGGCAGGATGGCATATGATGACGAGACCTGCGATTCCACAGTGGCAAGTACCAAATCTCAAGGCGCTGTGCAACAACCGGCTGACGGTGCAGGTGGTGACGGAGAGTTTGAAGACGATGTTCGGAGGCGACAGTGTAGCGCACAAGAAGGACATCGATCGAGTGAGGAGCCTGTACCACGGACGGTCGAGTCGAGAAGAAGGATACTGGATGGAGGACTACTACGACGAAGGTGATGAAGCCTAGTACGAAGACGAATCTGATCCGCATGAGGACTATCAAGAAGAAGACGAGTGGTACGAGGATGACGACGATGTGCCAGAGGAGCTGGAGAATACCTGCGAAGTTGCCGAGGATGCCTACGCGGCGTACGCGGAGGCAAGAGCAAAGATGAACGAGCTGGCGAAGTCTCGAGGGTTTTACCCCGTGGTGGCCCTGATCGACGAGAGGCGCGGTGGAGGTCTGCCACCGCCGCGCGCGGGCAACGCCAGGCCGCCAAAAGGAAGAGGAAGAAGCAGCGGCGGCAAAGCTAAAGATCACAAAGGGAAGCAAAAAGGACGATCCGGAGGACGAGCACCACTTGGTAGTGGTAACGGCAGCAGGCACTTCGACGGCAGCCCGAAGACGACGCAAACAGGAGCTATTCAACAGCATGGTCCGAGGTTCAAGCGGCGTCGAGACGGGACACCAGCTAAGCACGATGAAGACGCGAAGATGCTGTGCGAGGTCAGATTGGATGAGACGACGACGGAGATCACCAACAGCATGGAGACGGCGTGGGACTCGACGAGCGGCCGAAGTGGCGTAAGAAGCTGACGGACATGGGCATGTCCGGGCAGATCAAGACGGAGAGGTGTCAGAAAACATTCAGGTTTGGCAACGATGCGACAGCTACGGCGAAGCAGATGGTCACGTTCCCGGTCTGGATTCGCAACGCGAAGAGAGAGAGAGAGAGAAAAAGAGATCGCGGTATTTCTGGTACCAGGCAAGGTTTCGCTGCTCGTGGCGAGGCCGTGTCTCGAGGAATGGGGCATCGTGGTGGACTACCGGAACAAGAAGGCGATGTACCTGGACGAGGATCCGCAGACCTGGAGCGATATCGAGACCAATGAGAAGGGCCACATGATCATAGACCTCCTGAGCTGTCCTGATGATGCGCTGGAGGTGAAAGAGGAGCCCAGCACGACTGACGCCGACGCGGACGGAGACCACGAGGCCAAGAGCGACAACGAAGTGGCGTACTGCGTGACCAGCACGCACGGAGAGGAGAAAGAGAACGCGGAGACGACCGACCTTGACGCCGAACAGCTCAATAATTGGTTTGCGAAGGCGAACCGAATGCTCGACGAGAAGCCGAAGGTGAAGCGCAAGTTCTGGGATATCTTTGTCAACGAAGGCAGGATTTCGCAATGTGTCGAGCAGCGTGGCGACTTCAAAGCGAGCGAGTTCACCCTGGACACTGGCTGGTATTTTACGAAGAAGTCACACAGTGAGGCGTTTTTCGAGAAGTTACGGCGTGACAGGCCAGAAGGAGTGTGGATTTCACCGCCATGCACGCTGTGGTCGACGATCAACACACTGAACGACGCAAGCGAAGATGACAGATACCGACGACAGAGACGACGTGAACGTGAAAAGCAGAAGAAGGATTTCCTGAAGTTCAGCCGGGAAATCTACGACGAACAGTTGAGGAACGAGCGGGATGCTCATTTGGGGCATCTGAGGTATGCCGCGTCGTGGAAGGAGGATGTCTGGCAGAATATGGTGGGCTACGACACGTTCGTGGACCAGTGCGCGTACGGGCTGAAGGCATTGGACCGTGACGGGCACAAGCTAGGGCCGATTAAGAAGCCCACGAATGCGAGGACGACCAAGTACAACATGCATGAGGGACTTTGGAGGCGCTGCAGCTGCAAGGAGAAGCACGTTATGTTGGAAGGAGCGCGCAACGTGCGCGGTGTGGAAAACTATCCGAGGAGCATGGCGTTTCAGGCCGCTATTTGCATCGTGGACGACCCTCAGAGCGAGTCGAGCTACGTGGTGGAAGAGATGACGCAGGAGGAGTTCGACAAGATCGAGTGCAAAGAGGTGTGGAAGACGCTACTTGCGAAGTTCACGATCGACGAGGTGAAATGGGTCGAAAAAGTGCATGTGCAGATGGGTCACCCATCTAGCGAGGCGCTGGCGGCGGCGCTCAAGGAGATGAACGCAGACGATCGCTTGGTGAGTTGTGCGCGGATTTACAGATGCGAGGTTTGTTTGAAGAGGCAGAGGCCGAAACCCGTGAGGATCGCGAGGGTTCCGAAAGATCGACACCTTCCACGTGTGGAATGACAAGCACGAGTTGGTGTTCACAATCATGGATGAGAGTTCGAGGTATGAGGTCGACGCGGTCGTGAAAGACGAGAAGGCGAAGACGGAGATCAAGGCGATCGAGAAGAATTGGATAAACTGGGCAGGTGTACAGGCAAGGACCAGGGCCGATCAGAGTGGAGCGCGTGTAAGTGAGGATTTTTCGGAGTGGTGCGATGCGAGGCAGATCAAGTTGCAGTTTATGCCGAGGGACGCGCACCACAGGCTTGGGATTCTTGAGAGGAACCACCAAGGTCGACGAGAGCAGATTGCGAAGTACCACGAAGATCGGCCCGACGACAGCCTGAAGGTGACAGTTCGCGTGACATGCGACATGAGGAACAGGTTACGCGACGTCGGAGGATTTACGCCGGCGCAGCGTGCGCTCCGGCGTCAACCGAGAGACCTAGGCAACGTTGCGGACGAGCCGGCGACACTGGGTGATCTCGGCGAGCATGATGAGGAGTTCTACCAGAACATGGCGCGGAGGCGAGATGCAGCCAAGGCGTATTTTGCAGCAAACATGTCAAGGGCTGTGAGAGGCTCTCGCGGCTCGCAACCGACCGCCGGCCAAGGAGTTTCAGATCGGCGAGTATGTGTATTTCTGGGGGGCGAGATAAGGGCGAGAGCGACTTGATCAAGAGCTATTGGAAGGGGCCTGCGATGGTCGCGCAGGTCGAGTGCACGGGCGATCCCGACAAGTCGAGGCAATCGGTGGTCTGGTGCGTGCACAATAACGCGCTGCTCAGGACGACGCATGAGTTACTGGGGCCAGAGCTACCAGAGGAGCGACGGCAAAGAGAATAACAAAACGAAGACTTCGGTCTACCTCTGTCGACGGCGGAGAGGCTGCTCGAGAAGCTGAAGGATGCGACTGGGTCCATCAAGTACAAGGATTGTGTTGGAGAGGCGCCTGGCGACCCAGGCGACTACGTTGACGATGGACGACCTGAAGGTATGGACGTCGACGCCGAGGGCGTGGACACAGACGGACAAGTTGCAGGGCCAGGAGATGGGCAAGCGCGACCCGACGAGGACCAGCGGAGCGGCGACGAGGCCGAGCCATTCGCGCAGGCGCCGTCAGAGGCGCAGCCGCAAGATGCGGCAGGCGAGACTCGGCCGGAAGCTGCTGTGCAGACGAACGAAGGGGAGCGCGAACCCGATCTCGAGGCCGCGAGCCGAGAGACAGCAGAAGACGTTGAGCCAGAAGCCAAGGTGGAAAAGCGGAAGGCAGATGACAGAGACGAACTACTGGATAGCATCAACGCGGCAAGGCGGCTGGACGGGCTCCGATCACTGATGAAGAGGCCGAAGATCACCCCGATGGAGACGCAGACTAAGACGGATATTGACGACGATGTTGCTACTGCGCGAAGATAAAGAAAAACGGTTTACTTAACGAATGTGGCCAATCGTGATGCGGTCGTGGAGGCCAGGCTCACGATGGACGAGAGGAAGCAGTTCGATGAGGCCAAGACCAAGACGCTGATGCCCTGGATCGAGAACCAGGCGTGGCAGGCGGTCAACGAGTCCACGGCGGACGCTGGTGAAATATGCCCCAGGCGTTTCTTGCTGAAGTGGGGGATGAAAGACGGAGTTCGAGAGGCCAACGCCAGAGTTATTCTACAGGAATTTCACTTGGAGGAGGTCACGAGCACGAATATGGAGAAGGCCAGTCCGACGCTGACGAGGCTTGCGAGGTATAGCATCCTACTCATCCTGTGCCAGCAGTCGTGGAAGATGATCGCGGCAGACGTAAAGAGCGCGTTCCTGCAGGCGAATGACACTCGCGAACAAGGGGTGCGAATATTCTGCAGACCGACGAAGGACATCCAAAGAAGGCTGGCCAAGCTGATGAACCTGAAGGGCGACGAGATTCTGCAGATGCTGAAACCCGCTTTCGGAGATGTTCGGGCGCCACGGCAATGGAATCAGACGATCACCGAGGCCATGATCGACATTGGGTTCCTCCAACGCCAGCTGGATCGATGTTGTTTTCTGTCGTACCGTGTGGCGACGGAAGGCGACGGCCCGTTCCTGGTATGGGGGGCGGGTGACGGCCAGAACTACGTCCTGGACGGGGTTCTGGGATTGCACGTGGACGACTTCATCGGCGGCGGCGAGAACCTGGAGTGCGAGGCGGACCTGACCGACAAGCAAGCCTACGAGGGCACGTTCCTGGATCGAGTTCAGAATCTCAGCATGAGGTTCAAGTTTTTTTTTTTTTTGGGGGGGGTTCCCCTTCTTCTTCCTCCTGTGGTATGGGGACTACTCAGGCGCAGTCTAGGAACGAGATCGAGGTCAAGACCGAGGCGTACATCCACAAGGTCAAGCCGATAAGCATCGAGAAGGTTCGCCGACAGCACCCGGACGATTTGTGTAGACCAAAGGAGATCAGCCAGCTGCGAGGACTGAATGGAGCTATGCAGTGGCCGGCATCTCAGTGCATGGTGCAGGCGGCGGCGACGGTTTCGTTTGCCCAAGGCGACGTGAGCAAGGCTACAGTGGGGAGTTTGCTGGAAGCCAACAAGTCATTGCGGTTCCTGAATACGAGCGGAGACGTGGGCATTCGTATCCGATATGTATCTAAGTGGGAGGTGCTACGTCTGGGAGTATACTGGGACGCTTCGTGGGCAACGAGGCCGAATGGTGAATCACAAGGAGGTTATATGATATTTGCTATTGAGGACGAGAGGACCGACGACGGACAGCCGACGTTTCTGGTTATTCTGGAGTGGGCGAGCCGGAAGTTGGTGCGCATTTGCAGGAGTTCCCTGGCAGGAGAAGTTCAGGCGGCCGCCAACGCCGTGGGCGCTCTGGAGTTTGCGAAGACGATGCTGACCACCATGCTCTACCCCAACCAGCAGCTGGCGGGCAAGGGCATGCTGCAAGTGCTGGGGCGGAGTCCGTGCATCGCGGACTGCAAGGCGCTCTACGATGCGGCGAATTCTCAAGCACCAGCCGGTGGCTTGACGGAGCGCAGGACGGGCATCGAGATCATGCAGGTGAGCGAGAAGATGAGGGAGTTCAAATTGCTCGTGAATCGAACGGAACTCCTGGAATCTCGGCGTTGCCAGGTCCTTTCGACACGTACACTGCGACTGTGTATTCGCAGATCTCATCATCTTTGGTTCTGGAACGTCTCGAGCATGTTGCTGCAACTGTCGTATCTCGTTCTTCGCATTATTCAGCTGCATTTCCAACTTGTGATTACGAATGTTCATCGTCGTCAACCTTTTATAGAGGATCCCGAGCTCGTCGTTTCTCTCGCGGAATTTCCTTGTCGATGTCCATCACCTTCTTATCGTATTCTTGCAAACTTCTGCCACGTTGCTCGGAATCCGTAAAAAAGACTCCAACTCCTGTTGCAACTCGCGCACTTTCTTCGTGCTTGCCCCATGCTCGAAAATCGTCATTCTCAGCTTCTCGATCTCCTTCTCTTGGTTGTACAGCTTGATCTGCAACTCTCTATCATCATCATCCTTCTTGTCATCGGGCCTCTCAACCAGACATGCTTTCATCTCGTCATTCTTCTCCGTCAGAAACTTCTCATTCGCCCTTTTGAAATAATACGTCGTACACAAACAACAACCGCATAGTAATATCATAACCAATAACAGCATCGTAAACACCGCCACGTAAATCCACTGCGTCTCATCGACGTCCACACTTGGACACGTCTCCTCCGCCTTTGTCTTGGTCATCGTCGCTGTTGCCACCAAGGTCGCAAGCCTCTGCGCCGTACGTGTTCCTGCCCTGGTAGCTCGAACCGTCTCGCGCTCTTCTTCTCCATCTTGTGACTGCTCAACAGCATTCGCTTCGTCAAAATCGACTACTGCATCATTCAACTCCTGTTCATTCTTCTCACGCTCCTTCTGACTGACCTTCTTGCCTGCTGTGAACGTGGCGTCGTACTTCAGCGCGTGTGTCATCCTTCGCAGCTTCTCCACGACTTGCTGTCGCACCTGCAGCTTCGTCAAACTGTCCGCCATCTGCTGAAACGTGTTCGTCCGCCGTGTTTGTAGATTCTCGGTACAATCTGCGCCGTTCCTCCGAGAGAAATTCCAGAAAGATGGCGTGGACGGAGTGCACGGGTCAGCCCTAGTCTATACTACAATGCAGGGACCCGCGCGTGCGAGAAGGGCGATTCGGACCAAAAAGTGTAGCAGGCCCAAGACACGCCAAGAGGGCCCCCAGAGGGCCCAAGACGCGCCAAGAGGGCCTCAAGAGGCCCCCAAGACGGCCCCAGAAGGCTCCGGGACGCCCCAAGATGGGCCCAAGACGCCGAAGATTGGGCCAAGACGGCCCCAGAGGCGGCCAAAATGCCCCAAGAGGCCTCCCAAGAGGCTTCCCAGCAGGGCCCCGAGCGGGAGAAATCGTCGACTTCCATTGTGTTTTTCGATGTTTCTCGCATTCTCCCCTTTTCGCCGTCCCTGCGCTCCAAGACGGCCCAAGAGGTCCCCAAGACCGCTCCAAGACCACCGACGAGGCCCGCAAGAGAGCCTCCAGACGGGCCAAGAGGACCCCCAGACGGTCCCAAGACGCCCCAAGACAGCCCAAGACGGCCCCCAAAGACGGCCCCAGAGGGCCCCGGGACGCCCCAAGATAGGCCCAAGACGCGCCAAGAGGGCCCCAAGAGGCCCCCAGGACGGCCCCAGAGGGCTCCTGGACGCCCCAAGATGGGCCCAAGACGCCGAAGATTGGGCCAAGACGGCCCCAGAGGCGGCCAAAATGCCCCAAGAGGCCTCCCAAGAGGCTTCCCAGCAGGGCCCCGAGCGGGAGAAATCGTCGACTTCCATTGTGTTTTTCGATGTTTCTCGCATTCTCCCCTTTTCGCCGTCCCTGCGCTCCAAGACGGCCCAAGAGGTCCCCAAGACCGCTCCAAGACCACCGACGAGGCCCGCAAGAGGGCCTCCAGACGGGCCAAGAGGGCCCCCAGACGATCCCAAGACGCCCCAAGACAGCCCAAGACGGCCCAGAGGGCCCCGGGACGCCCCAAGATGGGCCCAAGACGCGCCAAGAGGGCCGCAAGAGGCCCCCCAGACGGCCCCAGAGGGCTCCGGGACGCCCCCCTCGGAGGCCCTCTGAGAGCCATCTTGGACCGTCTTGGCCATTCGCGCCGCTCGGACCCCCGACATCTTGGGCAGCATTCGCCGTTCTCACCGCTCTGAACGCCATCTTGAGCCATCTTGGCCATTCGCACCGCTCGGGCGCCCCGACGAATCCACGCTCTCCTCCAGGCATCTTGCCATCACCTCGGAGCCTTCGCCTTCCAGAGCCTCGCGGACTCAAACGGCCCAGCTGTCATACATGGCCACGTCCGGTGCCCCCCCCCCCCAGGAGCCCGTTCCTCCGAGAATCATTCCAGAAAGAATTCGTGGACGGAGTCCACGGGTCAGCCCTAGTCAGCTACAACGCTGGGATCAGCGCGTGCGAGAAGGGCGAGCAGTGGCAGCGGGCCCTGGCGCTGCTGAGCGAGATGCGGGAGGCGAAGCTGGAGCCCGACGTCATAAGCTACAATGTTGGGATCAGCGTGTGTGCGAACGGTGGGCAGTGGCAAGAGGCGCTGAGCATGCTCAGAACCATGCGTTTGAGAAAGTTGGACGTTAACTTCATGGTCTACGGAACTGCAGCGAGCATGTGCGAGCAAGGCGGGCAAGGGAGCCAAGCGCTGTCTGTATTCAAAGAGGTGCGTGACCTTGTTGCAGGGGAATGATACAATACATGTCGAGCACGATCCAGTTGGTTCAGTTGCAACGCTGGGGCCAGCGCGTGGAGATAGGCGAGCAATGGCAGATGGCTTTGGCGCTGCTGAGCGAGATCCGGGATGCTAAGCTGGAGCCCGATGCTATCATCATCCCCTCCATTCTGGGACAAGTGCGTGGGCCAATCGCTTTCTCGGCCTCCAGCGGTGTCGGCACTGCCTCCGGGTCCCTGTGGGCTCTGGGTCCTTCAGACGTCGCAGAAACAGCCTTCGATCATGTCCGAGATGGCCGGACTTTGCCCCGACAGCCGCTGGACGGGGCCCCCGAGAGATCTCAAGCGGTTCCAAGAAGCCTCCAAAAGGTCCCTAGACGCCCCAAGAGGCTTTGCAGGAATTGTCCAGGAGACCACGGGAACTTCAAAGCTTTTCAACACCCAAAGGAAGATGTAGACGCCCAAGATAGCCTCCACACGGCCCAAGAGGCGCCCAAATTGCTCCAAGCGGGCTCCAAGAAGAGCCCCGAGAGAGCCCGAACGAGGAAAAATGTCCCGAATCCTTGAGGAAAACGTTTATTTTTGCAATTCCCGTGCTTTTCGTCTTCAAAGCGCCCAAGACGACAAGATCGCCACAAAAGGGTCCAGGAGGCCCCTGGGTGGGCCCCAAGACGGCCCAAGGCGGTCCCAGGACGGCTCCTGAGGCGCCCATGACGGCCCAAGAGGCTCCCATGACAGCCCCAAGAGGGGCCAATGACGACCCAAGAGAGCCCCAAGGCGGTCCGAGGACAGCCCTGGAGCCGCCCAAGACGGTCCCAGACGGCCCCAAGACGGCCCAAGGGGCACCCAAGACGGCCCAAGAGGGCCCCAAGAGGCTCCCAGGAGGCCGCCAGACGGCCCAACAGGGCCCCAAGAGGTTCTTACAGGGCGGAACAGAAGCCCTGGGGCGCGGCCGCACCCACGGAAAATAAACCCCGACTTCGAGGCTTATTTTCCGACGCCCTGGGGCGGAGCAATCAGCCCTCGCCCATGACGTTCGTCGACTCGCCACGTCCACGGAATGCCAGTACCTACTTCGAAGTCTCCCCCCCAGGCTCCAGATGGGGCGCAGACGTCTCGCCCGGATCGTTCGTGAATCAACGACGCCCACTGAAAATACTCCGTAACCTCGGAGGCCATTCTGCATGGTCCCGCGGTCGGCCCCAAAAAGGAACCCAAGACCACTCCTCGGCCCGCCACGTCAACGGAAAACAAACACCACGCTCGGATTTGTTCTCCGAGGTCCCAGGTGGGCAAAAGGGTTCTGGAGAGACGCCTTTCGTCAACCTGCGCTCTGGCGCTTGCTCTGGAGTTCTGGGTTTCGTTTCCGCGGTGTTCCGTCTCTGCCCTCCCAATGCACGACCCGGGGTGCGGCCACACCCACGGAAAATAAACCCAGACTTGTAGGTTTATTTTCCGACGCCCCAGGGCGGAGCAATCAACCCTCGCCCAGGACGTTCGTTGGCTCGTCACGTCCACGGAGTGCGAGCACCAACTCTGAAGGTTTCCCCTCAGGCTCCGGATGGGGCGCAGACGTCTCGCCCGGGGCGTTCGTGCATCGACGACGCCCACGAAAACGACTCCGTAACGTCGACGGAAAATAAACAGCACGCTCGAGGTTTAACCCTGGCAAGCAAACAGTAACCCCCCCGGCGATATCGCTAGCACAGAAAATAAAATAATTAGCCTGGCGAAGAACCCAACCATATGCAGTTGTCAGTACCGCAGCTGCGGGTTTCATCTTCAATGGAACTCCCCATAGGACTACGGAACGTGTGAGGGGTGTGCCGAGATGGGTGCCACTGGGGCATTCGGCGAAGCTCCCTATGGGGACATGAAACACGCGCGGGGCGTGCCGACATGGGTGGCGGAAACGCATGTGCGGGCCGCCACTGGGGCCTCCAGTGGAACTCCCTATGGGTCCCCGAAACATGATGCTGCTGCGGGGGGGGGGGCGGGATGGGTGGCGGAGACGCATGTAAGCGCCGCTACTGGGGCCTTCGGTGGAGCTCCCTATGGGGCCACGAAGCGCGTGAGGGGTGTACTGGGATGTGTGGCGGGGACGCATGTGAGCGCCGCCACTGGGACCTTCGTGGGGCCACGAAACGTGTGAGGGGTGTGCCGAATTAGGTGCGGGTGGTGACGCATGCGGGCGGTGCCACTGGGGCCTTCGGTGGAGCTCTCTATGGGGCCACGAAACCTGTTGTTGTGAGGGGCGTGCCGGGATGGGTGGCGGGGACGCATGTGAGCGCGGCCGCTGGGGCCTTCGGTGGAGCTCCCTATGGGGCCACGAAACGTGTGAGGGGTGTGCCGAATTGGGTGGGTGTGGGTGACGCATGTGAGCGCCGCCACTGGGGCCTCCGGTGGATGATGGGGCCACGAAACCTGTCAGGGATGTGCCGAAATGGGTATGCGGGACGCATGCGCATGTGAGCGCCGCCACTGGGGCCTTCGGTGGAGCTCCCTATGGGGCCACGAAACGTGTGAGGGGTGTGCCGAATTGGGTGTGCGGGACGCATGCGGGCGGCAGCACTGGGGCCTTCGGTGGAGCTCCCTATGGGGCCACGAAACGTGTGAGGGGTGTGCCGAATTGGGTGTGCGGGACGCATGCGGGCGGCAGCACTGGGGCCTTCGGTGGGGCTCCCTATGGGGCCACGAAACGTGTGAGGGGTGTGCCGAATTGGGTGTGCGGGACGCATGCGGCGGCAGCACTGGGGCCTTCGGTGGAGCTCCCTATGGGGCCACGAAACGTGTGAGGGGTGTGATGGGTGTGCGGGACGCATGCCGTGGGGCCTTCGGTGCTCCCTATGGGGCCACGAAACGTGCGGGACGCATGCACTGGGGCCTTCGGCTATGGGGCCACACGTGTGGGTGCCTCGGCGGGAGCTCCCTATGGGGCCACGAAACGTGTGAGGGGTGTGCCGAATTGGGTGTGCGGGACGCATGCGGGCGGCAGCACTGGGGCCTTCGGTGGGGCTCCCTATGGGGCCACGAAACGTGTGAGGGGTGTGCCGAATTGGGTGTGCGGGACGCATGCGGGCGGCAGCACTGGGGCCTTCGGTGGAGCTCCCTATGGGGCCACGAAACGTGTGAGGGGTGTGCCGAATTGGGTGTGCGGGACGCATGCGGGCGGCAGCACTGGGGCCTTCGGTGGGGCTCCCTATGGGGCCACGAAACGTGTGAGGGGTGTGCCGAATTGGGTGTGCGGGACGCATGCGGGCGGCAGCACTGGGGCCTTCGGTGGGGCTCCCTATGGGGCCACGAACGTGTGAGGGGTGTGCCGAATTGGGTGTGCGGGACGCATGCGGGCGGCAGCACTGGGGCCTTCGGTTGAGTTCCCTATGGGGCCACGAAACGTGTGAGGGGTGTGCCGAATTGGGCGTGCGGGACGCATGCGGGCGGCAGCACTGGGGCCTTCGGTGGGGTTCCCTATGGGGCCACGAAACGTGTAAGGGGTGTGCCGAATTGGGTGTGCGGGACGCATGCGGGCGGCAGCACTGGGGCCTTCGGTGGAGCTCCCTGCGGGGCCACGAAACGTGTGAGGGGTGTGCCGAAATGGGTGTGGCAGGAGGAGGGGGGGGAGGAGGAGAGGAGGAGACGCTCGCCACCGTCTCTTCAAAACGAGGACCCAACACCACAGGATGGTTGGGAAATAATTATTTTGGGCGGCGCCCTCCGGCGATATCGTTAGCACATTAAAAATAAATACAATAATTAATTAATTCATTTGCCCCCCCGGGCCCGAAGCTGGCGGCAACGCGAGGCGACAGCCTGAAGAACCAACGCGCACGAACGCTTGCCAATGCATTCCCGCCTTGCTAGAACACTGGGAAACTGACGCGCATCGGAAATCAAAGGTAAATCAAAAATGACAAACAATGAAATCACCGCAAGCAACTATACTTGAAAGGACCCCCCAAAGGAATCCCAGAGGAATCTCAGAAGGAAGCCCACGCAGAATCTCAAAGGATCCCTATTGGAAATTCAAAGTAATCTCAAAGTAACCCCACAGAAATCGCAAAGGGATCTCAGCGGCAGCTCAAACGAACCACGAAGGAATCTAAGGGATCTGGAAAACGCGGGCTCGCGTGGACATAAGCAAACCCTATTGCGGCCGCAATAGGGAAATTGTTTTTTTCACGGGGTCCTATGGGAGAGTCCACGGAGGGATATCGCAGACGGATTCCGCGAACCCCCCCCGCGATATGTTAGCACATTTATTGAAAATGAAATAATCCACAGGCACCGGAGGTCGATGTGATGCTCCCTTCAGGGATTGTCGAAGGAATATCAGAGGAACTTGAAAGAACCCCCAAAGGAATCCCATAAGAATATCACAAGGAATCGCACGCATGATATCGAAGGAACCAATGGAAGTTCAAAGCAATCTCAAAGGAGCCCAACAGAAATGTCAAAGGCATCTCAGCGGCAGCTCAAACGAACCACAAAGGAATCTAAGGAATTTGTAAAACGCGGGCTCGCGTGGACATAAGCAATCCCTATTGCGACCGCACTAGGGAAATTGATTCTTTCAGGGGATCCTATGGGAGAGTCCACGGAGAGATTTCGCAGACGCATTCCGCGACCCCCCCCGCGATATGTTAGCACATTTATTACAAATAAAATAATCCACCGGCCCTGGATGTCGATGTGATGCTCTCTTGAGCAATGGGGCATCAAAGGGATATGACCGGAGCCTCAAGGGACCCCCAGAATAACATCAAAGGAACACCAGAGGAGTCTCAAAGGAGTCCCAAAATAATCACATATTGATTCTTTCAGGGGATCCTATGGGAGAGTCCACGGAGAGATTTCGCAGACGCATTCCGCGAACCCCCCCGCGATATGTTAGCACATTTATTACAAATAAAATAATCCACCGGCCCCGGATGGGGCATCAAAGTAATATGACCGGAGCCTCAAGGGACCCTCAGAATAACATCAAAGGAACACCAGAGGAGTCTCAAAGGAGCCCCAAAATAATCACAATGGAAACGGCAAGGAATCTCAAAAGAAGCCAATCGGAGTATCAGAGGAATCTCTGAGGAATCTCACAGAAACGCACAGAATCACAGGAAGCGACTCTGGGCAGGTGTGCCTTGTCGCTGGGCTCTGGACTACAAGGGGACCGGGCATTCAGAGGCTTGTGGAGGCCTTTCTGGATGCCTCCTGGGAACCTCCGGGGACCTCCCCTCCGCGGACCTCTGGTGACTTGCGGGGGATATCGCTTCCGCCCCGGCCCCGGTGCCGGAAGCGTTATAATTTCCTCTGATGAAGGGGGGGGGGGGAGGGGGGTTACTGATTGCTTCCCAGGGTTATTCTCCGAGGTCCCAGGTGAGCTCCAGGGTTCTGGCGAGACGTAGACGGAGTCCACGGGCCCCGCGCGCTCCCGGGCGGCCCCGAGGCGCTCCACGACAGCCTCGGAGGGCCTCCCCACGGCCCCAAGGGGGCTCAGAGAGACCGCCCCGACAGCCCGAGCGGACCTCCAGCGAGCCCCCGGGCGGCCCAAGAGTGCCTCCCCAGCGCTCCCGGTGGCTTTCCCCGAGGGCCTCCCGAGCTCATCGCTGGGCGCTCCTAGGACGCCTCAGATGGGCTTCGACTTTGGCGTACACCCCCGAGGGACTTCAAAACTGCCCTCAATAGGAGGGGGGCGAACGAGCAGTGCGCCAGGGCCAAGCTGCTGGAGCGCCGCAAGAGCTTGGACACGAGGGCGCGGTCTTGCTGCCAGCGCCCCGGCCGCCGCCGTGCTTGCAGGTTTTCGGCAATACCTCCGCCGTTTCTCCGATAACCATTCCAGGGAGATGTCGCGGCCGGAGGCCGCGGGTCAGCCCTAGTCAGCTACAGCGCTGGGATAAGCGCGTGCGAGAAGGGCAGACAGTGGCAGCGGGCCCTGGCGCTGCTCAGCGAGATGTGGGAGGCGAAGCTGGTGCCCAACATCGTCAGCTGCAGCGCTGGAGTCCTGGCTTGCGAACGATGCGGACAAGATCGACAGGCGATCTGGCTGCTCAAGGAGCCGTGGGATGCAGAGCTTGAATCCAACGTTGCTGGCTTCAGCGATGCACTCGTTCTTGCGATGCGTGGTCAAGTGCAGAGCAGGCTCAACTCTTACGCTGGGGTCAACGCGTGCGGGAAAGGGTAGCTAGCCGCAGCAGGCCTTCCAGGAAGACAGCTGCAACGCCAGGACCAGAGCGCGCGAGGATGGCAGAAGCTGGCATCCGGCTCCGTCGGTGCTCCTCGCGAGGGCGGGGGGGGATGCGAAGCGTGAGCCGACCTCACCGGCGACAGCTCTGCAGCCAGGGAGTGCGAGAAGGCTGGGTGACTCCACATGGAGGCCGTCCTCGGGAAGCTGCGTTCGGGAAATGCCCAACAGGGGTCTCACCAGTGGCTATGGACGTGTGGCCAGGCTGCGCGAGCAGGGCAGGCACTGACAGCAGGTGCTGGCATTGCCTGGCGAGGTGCGACACCTCACCACGGAGGGATTGTCCTGCTTTTCCTCCTCCTCTTTCTCCTCCTCCTCCGCCTCCTCCCCCTCCTCCTCCTCCTCTTCCTCCTCCTCCTCCTCCTCCTCCTCCTCCTCCTCCTCCTCCTCCTCCCCCTCCTCCTCCTCCTCCTCCTCCCCCTCCTCCTCCTCCTCCTCCTCCTCCTCCTCCTCCTCCTCCTCCTCCTCCTACATCTCACCACGGAGGGATTGTTCGACTGGTGCGTGCGCAGCGCAGCAGCTTGCGGCAGCGACCGCCACCGACCAGCAGCAGGCGATCACAGCATCATCAGTAATCCGACGAAGCACACGGCGGCAAGGTATCGCGGCACCAGGCTAGCAACCTGGAGTGCATGCCTGCCTGCAAGCAGTCAGGCGGACACGCAATCCTTTTCTGGTGCCTGCGGCGGATAAGTTTGGGTGGCCACTGGGAGCGCTCCGATCCGATCAGGCCGCTTGCCGTGGATACAGGTCCACCTCAGCTAGCTACCACGCTGGGAGCAGCGAGTGCAAGACAGGAGAGCAGTGGCAGCGGGCTCCAGCGCTGCTCAGCGAGATGCGGGAGGCGAAGCTGGAGCCCAACGTCATCTGTATTATAATTCCGAGATCTGCGCGTGTGGGAGATGCGGCCAGTGGCGGCAAGCGCTGGCACTGCTCGGCGAGATGCCAGATATGAGTTCGGAGCCTTGGCCATCACGGCAGGATTCCCAGGCTGTCTTGGGATCGATATTTCGCGTCTTCGAGCAATGTGCGTGTGGGACCCTGCTGGGCAACCATTACGTTGACGTGGGCAGACACCTTTATTTTGCATTTGGTAGCGGCATTCCATCGCGCAGGAATCTGCTTTGGATACAATTGCATGGGTCCGCCTTATTCGACTATAGCGCTGGGATTAGCACGCGTGCGGGAGGCGAGCATTGAAAATGGGCCCTGCAACTGCTCAGCGAGATGTTGGCAGTGAAGCTGGAGCTCAGCGTCGACAGCTGCTCAACGTGTTGCCGCCATTTGTGTTACAATACCCAGTACGCACTCGTCAGCTACACACTCGTCGGGTACAGCGCTGGGATCAGCGCCCGCGAGAAGTCGGGCAGTGGACCAAGACTACGGGCCTGCTCGCTTCGATGCTTTGGGCCGGCGTGGACCCCACTGCTGCCAATTGCCTGGACATTGGCTGGTAAACGCGCGACCTCGAGGTAGGTGGACATGTGATCTTCAAGCGCATCGTTCTCGTGGTGCTGCTGAAGCAGACGGCGGCGGTCTCACGCTGCTTCTGGTGTCGACGACCTCGGCTCCGAGCCGTCGGTTCACTGCCAGATGTCAGAGCCCCGAATCATCAGGGGTAACTCGGGTCAGGGATAACTCGGGTTCGTTTTTCGGGATTCCGAACCCGACTTACCCCGGACCCGAGTTACCCCGGATAACTCGGGCGTCCAGGGCCCCGAATCATCAGGGGTAACTCGGGTCAGGGTTAACTCGGGTTCCTTTTTTCGGGAATCCAAACCCGAGTTACCCCGGACCCGAGTTACCCCGGATAACTCGGGCGCCCAAAGATGTTTGCACGGGGCGGGCTCAAGGTGTCACACGAAGCCGGCCGCTGCGGCGAGGGACTGGCTGCGGACTGCTTGGCCGCGGTGTGTCAGGAGGAAAAGAAACACACAGACACAATTAATCTTCGATTCCCCAGAAAATATGGGAAAATATGGGAAGTGGTGGGGAAGACAAAAACCCAGGAAATATGTGAAAATATGGGGAATATTTTTATTTGTGTGTATTTATTTGTGTGTCCTGGGGCCCCTTCAGTGTGGAGGTGCAGCCAGGCCTCGAGCTCCTCCCTGGGAGCCCCGCGCCTCTGCCCGGGGTCGCCTGCAAGCGGCGCGGCGGCGGCCGCGGGCCACGGGACACCGCCGCTCTCGCCGAGGCCGCCGCCAGGCCCTGCGAGGCCCTGAGGCGGAGCTCTGCCCTGCCAGCCCGAGGGGCAGGGATTGCAAAAACAACAAAAAAAACAAAAAAAACAAAACAAAACAAAACAAAACAACAAAAGCAAAAACAAAAACAAAAACACAAACAAAACAAAAAAAAACAAAAACAAACTTATTTTTGTTTGCAATCTTTTTTTTTTTTTTGAAATCCGCTTTGCGCTGCTGCACGGCTGCGGCACGGCGACTCCTTCCCGGGGCTCACTCCCGGGCCTTGGCCTTGCCCCAGCGGGCGGCAGCTGGTGCCCATTGACTTGCCAGGCGCTTCTGTGCAGGCACGCGCAGCACGTGGAAGGCCTTCGCCTGCTGCAGAGGTCGCCCGCGTGGCCCTGTGGCAGGAGAGAGAACCGCGAGCCTGCACACGGCCGGTTCCAGTGCCCCGCTGCGGGCAGCGTGATCGTTGCCGAGGTGTGAACCGAGGGCTCGGGGCTTCGCGGAGATGCCCTGCGGGGATCTGGGGTGCTGGTCGTGAGCTCAGCATCGCCCAACCCATCCCCATCCCCGCTTGGCAATGGTATCTCAGCCCCACCAGCCCACCATCCGGGGTGGGGAGGTGCCCCGCGAAGCCCGAGGGCACAGGCACATTGTCCCCCACCTAGGTGGACAAGTCGAGTCGGTCAGTGGGGCCAGGGCCACGCCAGTGGGTATACGGATCGGCTAAGCTGCGCTCAGGAAGCCATCCCGGGCTGCTCGCGCGCGGTTCCTCGCCACGCTGCCCGGGCTCGCAGGGGCGGCGCTGCGGGCCAGAGGCTCCCGAATGTTGTGGCCGTGGGGCGTGAGGCCCGTCGCCAGGCGGGCTCCTGGGAGGGCTCCTCGCCGTCGTCGTCGCCGCCATGCTGCACGCCTTGTGCCCCGCTTTCGCCACGACCGCCCCTGGATTCTTCTGGTCTGGACGGGGCGGAGTCCGCGTCGGAACCACCACCGTGGAGGCGCGGCCAGCTTCCAGGGTCGCGGGCTCGCTCATCTTCAGGGGCGCTCGGGGACCAGCTGCCACAGCAGAGGCGTGTTGCCGTGCTTGTTGGGATGCCTCCGATGCGCCTGGTCCGAGCAGGGGTGCGGCAGGCGATCGCCAGCCTCTTTGACGCAGTGGGTCGCATGAGTGCTCCTCCTCCTCCTCCTCCTCCTCCTCCTCCATCTTCTCATCATCTTGCTCCTTGCCTGTTCCTCCTCCTCCTGCTTCTCCTGCTTCCTCCTCCTCCTCCTCCTGCTTCTCCTTGCTCGACAGGCCAACTCCGCCTCCACGAGCGGCAATCGAGCGGAGGTGAAAGGCCAGGGGTGCGGGCCCCCCAAATATGCATCACCGCCCTCCTCCTCCTCCTCCTCCTCCTCTTTCCTCCTCCTCCTCCTCCTCCTCCTCCTCCTCCTCCTCTTCTCAAGCGCATTCTGGCTGAGGTTGTTCGCCCGGTCAGTCTCACCTTGTGCTGGACCATTCTTGTGCTCGCTTGAGCGCCGCGGTGACGCGGTGAAAGCAAGGTACGACTCCACTTTCGCAGCAATGGTGCCGCCTCCTCCTCCTGCTCCTGGCGGCAACGGCTGGGTTCCGTGGCACAGGCGTGGATGGGCCCCCCCCTGGAGGTGCACCCATTGTGGATGCAAAAAGAGCAAGGGCGGATGGTGGTTCTGCAAGCAATGCAAGAGTCCTCGTCCTGCCCTACCTGGTGAAGGATCATCTCATGCACCTCCAGGCCCCCCTGCTGGTGTGTGGGCAAATGGAGGGCCGCCTGGTGCAGGCCTGCCGCGTGGGGATGTCGCTGGCCAAGGGGGCCAAGGGCAGCTTCCACTTCGTGCTGGTCCACTGTTCCAGTATCAGTCGCCCCAGCCTCCTGCTCCGGGCCCGGCCGTCGAGCCCACCATCCCAGAGTTGGAGCACCTCGTGGACACGCTGGAAAAATGCGGCGACAAAGACACAGCAAACAGGCACAAAGCGACCCTGGAAGCTCGGAAAAAAAGCTCTTATGCCTGCGGATGTGCCTCTCAACCAGCAGGTCAATCGAGCCTTTCAAGACCTTCGTACTTGGCGTGATCGTACGGTCAAAGCTTGCACTTACTACGACCGGCTGGAGGCCGAGCTCAAGGCACAGCGAGATAAGGTTCGCGAGTGCTCGGAAGGCTTGGCGCTCGCTGAGAAGAAGCACCAGGAACTTGTGGCCCGTCTCAACGACTCGGTGTGCAACAAGCAGAAGCAGTCGAAGCCCAAGCTTGAGATCAAAGACATCTTGGAAGGGAAGTTCGAGGACATCCCGCTCAGTGTGGACACCCTTGTGGACCCTGCTCTTGCTGCTGAGTACGAAATGTCTTCAGAAGAGAAAGAGGAGATGGACAAGCGAGTTTCTAGTCTCAAAGAGGCGCTCCAAACGTCCATCAAGCAGTTGTTCGGCGGAGTGGCCGAGCAGGTCAAGGCTTTCCAGGAGCAGCGCGACCAGCAGGTCAAGCGCTTGGCTGCCAAGCGACGTCGGGGGCCTGATGAGCCCGCTCATCCACCAGGTGGCTCAGTGGGCGCGGCTGGAGGCGACGGCGGCGCGCCTCCTGAGGCGGCGGGGTCAGCCGCTGCTGTGGCGCCGGCGGCCACGCCCGCGCCAGCAGCCCCGCCGCAACCGGCTTCGTCTTCGACTCCTTCGGCATCTCCGACGGCTTCGCTTGATGCTGCCTCTCGTGCTGCCCGTATTTTACAAACAGCTCCCTCCATTGGAGTCGACGCCCCAGTGGGGGGGGGGACGACGACAAAGACAATCTTTGAAGTTCCATGGCCTCTGATGGTGTTGGCGACTGGAGGTCCCAGCGAGCCCTGGGCTGTGACTCTCCCCTCGGGCCCACTCCTCGGGTCGACCTCGAGCCTCCCTCCTCCTCCCCTTTCGTCGGCCTCTTTGCTCCTCCCCTCGACGTGCTTAGCGTCGCCCCCAGTTTGGGCATATCTTCCAATGCTTCGGGCCCTTAGTTTTTGCGCCCTTCCGACCAGGCAGGATCCAGTGTCGCTACGCTGTGGCAGTCTGAACGGTCGCCGTCTGGGTAGTTACAAATTCCCGCAGGGTGCTGCCCCTATGTCCGAACAGGTTGAGTGTCAAGATCTGGAGGCTCCC